ACATTTCAGAAGAGCAATCAGGAGTATGATCATGATAAGTACAAGGCTAACCGAGATAGAATTCTGAGTAGACGAAATGAAAAAATTAACTCAGGAGTTTATTGGGTATAGTTATTCAATAGAAGGAATACAACGAAACAAATTGGTTGTGATAAGCAGATCAAAATAGAGGGAAAATAAAGATAAAATAGTAGAGATAGAGGGTAAAAGGTTGATAATGCTACTTTCCTGTGATCTGGTCAAGGAATTGTAGTCATTGGTACTCACATGATCCTAAAATAGAGGGTAAGTTTATCTAGGTGATGTAAAAGGTCATCAAAATAAAGCTCAGGAGTCTACTATATTTGCTGAAAGTACTGATAACAATAATACCTTGCGGAATCATGAACAGAGAAATATCCTAAATATAAGAGCGCATTACACAAGCCGATCAACTAGATTGAAAACAAAATACTGGCCTCATATGGTGAAAACACAAGTAAATGGAATATACTGGAAATTGTGGGTAGTTTATTAGGAATTAGTTGATAAAGAGGGTAGAAGAGGAAGAAGGCGGCGAGAATTTATTATATAGGTTGGTTAAACTAAAAAATTATTTTGGAAGAGAATCTTAAGGGAAAAAATCAATTTAAGGGAAAATGATTACAGGGAGTGGAGAAAAACCTGAAAATAGCTTTGAACTTTTTCTGAGAAATAGCGAATTTCTTAAAAGATTACCATTAAAAATGCAAAGGTTAAGATCTAGATTAAATGCAAAGCCACTAGAGTTTGGCAGTTATGGCTGTGGGCCCAATATAATTGTGGCGCTTCATAGTTGTTTAATGATAAAGGTTACCCATGTCGTCCTGCCTGATAATCCGATTTATCAAGCCATGTGCACATATCGAACTAAATGAAGTGGAGCCTCAAGATTAGGTTGGACTGAAAATATGATCCATACTAGCGGTTCCAACGGAAGCCAGACCTATGAATACAGACGATGTGATGGAATGAGGTGGAATTGGTAGAATGTAAATACTGGAAAAGCATGGTTCTGGAGCTAAAGAAGGTTAAAAAAGCAATAAGAGTAAGAATAATGATTTTGAGACGCCCTTGATGGAGCTAGTATACAAGTTCTTTCATAAGTACGGTGACTATTATGCAAATAGATCCTCGAATATGATGAACTTGATTTCCAAGATATGGTATTATAGTATGCCAGTTAGATATGACAGAGATTTTCAAAGGCAAGACGTACCAGCTGATATAAAGTAGGTGAGTAGAAAGCAAAGTTTAAATATTAACTTGCATAAAGAAGTCTTGCAGACTGAAAGCATAACCGGTAATCAGAGTATCTAAGCTTTCCTACACAAACTTTAAAGGGCGAATACCTGGGATATATCGGAAGAAACAAAGAAAATTGGTTTATATTAAATTAGATTGAGGGTTGAGGATATAGCGCCATAAATTAGGAAGAAGAGGAGAGTGGCAACATTGTTGAAAAGAGAAGCAATAAAAAATAATGCCTGTACTTGTCATTTTGACTAGCTATGGTTTGATGCTAATTATAGCGTTTATCCCAGGCGAATTACCCCTGAAGCTACCTAGTCAACGGCCCGATACTGGAATAAAATATGAGAACAGTGAAAGAGGATGCAGTAGAGGACATGCTCTTCGAATTATAACTGTAAACACACACAAATTCCTTATTTTTCGATAATCATCAATTACGTTGTGAGCATATAGTAATATGCCATTAGAAAGGGCCCCTTATAGGTAGAAGAAACATAGCCTAGAAATTTTCTAAAATCTTACGACATTTACATACCTTTTTACTTTGAGATTGGAGGAATGCAAGCAAGGGGGTAAATACATATCACCATACAGGGCATATGCATCAAGTAAAAGCCATTTATAATTTATAGTAAATTTATCAAATCAGAGAGAGTATTAATATAAAACGTTTAAAAAGTGAGAAAATGTTAAGCTATCATATGTATAGATATAAAAATAAAACCTCGCATTTGTATATATAGGGCAAATTCCATCCACACTTAAAATATTATTGAATAATATTCATGGAAAAGTATAACATATAAAAGAATCTAAGTCGAGTTAAGGGACAAAATAGATAGGAGATAACTCCACACCATATAGCAAACAGGAGCGAATGCAATATGAGCTATCGTACAGCTAATTTAAATACATAAGTAGATCCAATCAGAGGATTTTGGAAATTTTAGAGTATCATCCAATGAGGACCATTAAATCCATGATAGGTTTGGTTTTAATAATTTGATTTTAATCTTCCTGTATGTTCATTGTGCTAAGCTAATATCAAATCTCTCTTGTCAAAGCTTTTCTTAAATAAATTGTATAGCCAGTAATCTGAGAAAGGTGGTTACAACTACAGAAAAGGAGATGAAAACTCTTTTTAGAAAGAAATGCAAAGCGAAATTCAATGAAAAAACAGGCCATTAATTCAACTCACTGAGTATTTATCTACTCGCCGCCCTACGTCTAAATTAAATTCATGCTAAACTTATGTGAATCTGAAATTAGGTCATAAAGGGTAGTCCTTTCTTAAATTTGATGATAAGGTATATACTACTATGTATGGCTCTCTTGAATGAGATGTTGACCCATAATTTCACTAAATTGCTAGGAGCTTACTTGGTCAAAAAGTCCCACAGTTGAGGAACATAATTGCAATGGCAAGGGCTATCCTTACAATTGCTTTCGCTAAATTTCAATCAATACGCTCATAAAACAGATATATTATGCATACAAAGATTATTCTCAATCATTTAACTGGTTTTATATACCCTTGGAAGCATTTCTAGGTCTAAATTTAACTGGATATGATAATGGGGCTAAACTAATGCTGACTGTAAAGCCTAACATGCATGAAAAATTAAGAAAATTGGTGTTCCAAAGGATACATCAATAGGTATGTAGAAAAACTGGGTTGTAATTTATTAGAGTATTATCCGAAACCCGGTTTTTCAACATACATCCAACATCAACTCCTCAATAGATGACAGCGTACCTTTCATTTATTTTGAAGACGAGAGTGAAAGAAATTCGTAAATTAGCTTCACCAAATACAGTGGAGTTGTAAGTGTAGATTTCTGCGCACCTCCTCGTTGCCCCAATTAATACGTGCTGAACTCTCGTGTTTAGTGAAATACAGCCATTTGGGGCAAGATAGATGGCTGGATTACTCTACATGGATCATGATATTATCACTATCAACTCTCGAAAAATCGAGGCGAATTATCGAGGAAGTAGAATATAACGACAATATATAGGAAATAAATAACACTGTCATTGATAATTCTATCAATTAAGGAATTTTGGACCCTTTCTTCAGATCAGACTGTTAAAATGTTTTATTTGCATATAGTAGTGTCTATGTATGAGAGACCTGTAGGCCTAAGCATAAGCATTTATCTCAATATGGAACAGCATCAAAAGGTTTTAGAGTAAAATATGGGAACTGTCCATAAGCATGGCTGACAATGGATACCAGGTAGGTTACTTCAAAATACAATGACTAGTAGGATATGGAGATTATACAAATAGGCGAAAGATTGTGATATGATGACCAAGCGGGTGTGGTCTGCTTTTTGGTTGCAGCCTCTATTAGCTGCATAGTATTGGTTTGACCTCCTTTTCGCAACTTGGTCTGAAAGATAGTAAAACCTTATGAGACGTACCTAGCCCTGCCTCCTCTATCATAGTATTTTTGAATTCCTCCAGCATCGAACCTTTGATTTTGTGCCTTCCAAAACGAGACCGATTGCAATGCCAGCGAAATGCTTGGGAATATGCTAAGTCAACCGCCTAATGCTGGAAATTAAGAATATTATGGCAGAGGACGCAGGACTATATACGTTCCAAAAGGTCTACCTGTCGCTCCAATCAAGTTGCAAAATCGAGGTCAAACAAAACGAAAAATGTTTCTATGAAAGAAAAAAATGGCTAGTTCCCTGAACAGAAGCAAAACTACTCTTAGCTATTGGATGAGATTAGGGTGAGGAGGTTAACAAGAAGTACCGCTGAACAAGAAGTAGCTCTATTAGGCTTGAGCCTGTTTTATTACTCTCGCAGTATAAATGACTACTGAGGATTGAATGATCACAAGACACATGTAGTCGAACGAAATTAAATAGGTCAACATTGAAAGAGCAGTGATTTAGATGTGTCAGCTGCTCGTCCATAGTTGCATCATCCAGAATAAATTCTTTTTTGGACAAGCATGTAGGAAAAAACTAAAATAACAAATCAAATCATGAAATTCCAAATTATGTCGACAAAATAAAACAAAGAGAAGCATTGCAACCAGCCAAGCATCTTGACTTAGTGTTTGGTGAATTTTCTTAAAAAATGGTTTCCTACTCTGATGATGCCTATCCCATGGCAGTCGGAAGCTTAAAACGGATTCATCGAGGTCGTGGGATGTTGCGCCTAGAGTTTTTAGCACGAATATGCGGTCTAAACCATAATACAATCCTTCTTACACCTAAAGTGAAGCCAATTTAAGAATCACTTTCACTGGCCTCTTTAAACGAAAGGTTAGACACACCAATACATATATGGATGAGGGCTTAATATGGTCACTGAAGCTAATGGTGTCTGGAAATAATCTTGTATGGTCTGTACGTGAATTTCAATAAATATTGTAAAAAACATTAGTTGTGCCTTAAAATGACAATATATTAGCCACGCTTTTATATCATTTCATCTAATTATTATATGATCAAAAGTACCATCATTTCTAGCCATACATCTCGTTTTCTATACAATTTTTATCAGCAGCATCAATTAACCAGAAAATATTTTATTACAAAAGTTAAGGCGTTTTATATGTTTAAGCTGAGTACTTTATCCACTTATAAGTAGTTTTATTGCAAGCAAGGAAGTTGCAGATTTATTAGAGTATATCTCAGGGAAAGCTTTATATTTGCAATAACAAATAAATGAAAGTACTTTAAAATGTCAAGCTCGCATAATAATAGCTAAATAATCACGAAAAGCATTACCTGCTCTTTTTTCTTTTTTTCTATCTCTTCTTGAATTTTAATAGCATTTTTGCGTTCCACTTCCATCATATCGTCCAGACGTCTTTCCTCGTCAACAACTTCTTTTATTACTTGTTCCTTCTCCATTATCTGAGCGTCTCTAACAGCCTGTATCTTGGCGTTTAAAATAAGTTCATTAAGCGCTTTAATCTCGTCCTCTTGCTCCTGCCTTTGTTCCATTGCTTTTTGTAATAATACTTGAGCCGTTTTTCTTGCTTCTTCTTCTAAATCTGTAAGCTTTTCATTCTTAAGTCTTTTCATATCCATTTTTTTAATTTCCAATTTGCGTGCTTGAGAAGCGGCCTAAATATAATTAAAAAAATATATATTAGTCACTTAAAAACCTTATTTAGCTACCTGATTTAATAAACAAAATTCTTTAGTCATTAAATCTAGTTCAAGTTAATTCGAACACTTAAATATTTTACATCAATATATAAACTTCTTTCAATGAAACACAATTACAATGGCAAGAAGTAGCTGATAGTATATAAAAATAACCTATATTGCCTTAAATACTAATTTTTAAATAAGAAAAATTTATATGTAACTGATATGGTAAGAATATGTATAGTAGCAAAATTTCAAGAATAGAAACAAAAAAGATTAGGTCACCATAACTTCCTCCTTTTTTATCTTTAACTCCTCCGAGGCAAGTTCTTCATCTTTGTCAGAAATTATTTTGGCTTTTTCTTTAAGACGGGAAAATTCATTCAAGGGCAGAATTATAGACTTTGGAACTGAGTCCT